ATGTAAATAGTCAAGGGCTACTTAATAAAAGTTTGCATACTTAATATTCAATTTTGTACTAAGAGGGGCACGCCTACTAAACAGTCGGCTACTCTCCATTGAATGTTTTACTCTTCAGAGGGGCATGCCGTCTATACCTTTACAGTCGGCTACTCTCCATTGAGTATTTTACTCTATCTTCAGAGGGGCATGCCGTCTATACCTTTACAGTCGGCTACTCTCCATTGAGTATTTTACTCTATCACCATAGGGGCATGTCGTCTGGACATATAGTCGGCTACTCTCCATAAAAGAGGGCCGACTGGTTCCAAACACACAGCCACCCCCCTTATACTTAGCTAAAAAAGATTAGGGCCTGGTCGACCCTGTGCCTAAACAGGCGGCTACCCTCCTCTTACTTAGCACCTAGGTTCACCAAGAACTAACCAAGGCCACAAGCCGAATGATCAGACCAGGCGCCAAGCCAACTGATCCAATCTTCAAAACTAATACGACCTGTCCCAACATTATAGCAGGCGTCCGGCGGCGTCCCTCCGGATGAAATTCGTCGCAGAGAGCAGCTCCCTTTTGGGTGGAACATTGCTCTATAAACTAATTACACGACACCTATACGACTGTCCCCAAGGGCAACCACGTAGCCGTTTTTGAGACAAGGATAACTCTATCACTAACCAAACCAGTGGTAGCAGTTGACATCTGAGTCAGATGACCGCCTGTATTACTTGGGATAAATGCAGGGGGTACCTCTTGAGTTAATAGCCAACAAACATTGGCGAATCAAAAGGTTCAGCCGGCCTCCGCCGCCTGGTGCCTTTACTACTCAAGCAGGAGTGACGGCGACTGAGTAACACCAAAGTTAACTCATAGTCACTCTCTCAAACTTAGTATGGAGCCTAAAAGGTATGAGTCGTCCGCCTGTTTTTAGCAAACAGGGGCTCTCAACCACTACTCCTGCTAGGTTAACAACCTGAGTTAAAAGCCAACAAACATTGGCGAATAAAGGGGAACAACCGGTACCAACCGCTTGATACCTCTACTACTCAGTTACTTGGCGACTAGGTAACAATCATGTTTACTTGGTCAAACCACTTTCCTACTTGGTTAATTTTACAAATGACAGGACCGCCTGCCTAAAGGGGATCCAGTCTTTAAAATGGTTCGAATACCGATTGGATAAATGGCCGACTGATCGTCTAGCCTGGAAACAGACAACCAGTCGTCCAGGGGCATAGGCGGCGTGACTAACTATCCGTACCTGTCTGCAACTATCGGCCATGTAAAACAGTCGGTATAGTGTACAATTGGATATCAGAATATTCAATACTTAAACAAATTTGAAGCAAAATAAAAAAAAAAAAATCATTAAAAAGAAGCCGGTCATTAAAGACCGGCAAAATATTCAGAGCCCCGGCCCCCTGGCCGGGTAAATACAAACAAACGGCACGCAGGCCGTGGAAAGAAGACATAAAGCTTAAGAAGGGGGCAAATCTTCAATATTAGCAGCTGCCGCTTGGTCAGCACTCTTCTTGCTGGACTCGGCTTCAGCTGCATCCTTTTTTGATGCATTACCCCTAAGCGGCACAAGCGCCACTACCGGCTGCTCTTCCTCCTCCAACGCCTCTTCCTCATCAGCCGCCAGGATCTCTTGATTATATCTATCAGAACACTGGCGGTACGTTTTTTCCCATGAGGCAAAGTCGGCATTGGGGAAGAGGCGGCCCCAAGTCATGCGCTGGATTTGAGCAGAGTCTTCCATCATCTCCCGGACCAGCTCTTTCTTTTCTTGCTCGGCCTTTTCCGAGAGCTCCTGAGTAAGACTCTTCTCCTGGGTCACCAGGCGTTCCTTTACACTCGTCAAGGATTTCTCCAAGGTTTCGTATGAGGACATCTTTTGGCGAAGAGGTCTCAGCTCGACCTTGAGGTTGTTGATGGTCGCCTCCAGCTCGCTATTCCTCTTCTAGGCCGCCTCTAACTGAGCCCGGATAGCGGCGGTAGCCTGCGCCTGATAATAAAGAATATCAATGGTCAGAACTTCATTTTGGGCAATTTGAAACATTGCCTTATCACAGTCAGAGGCGGCCATAGCTTTTGCAGCCTTTACCTCTTTGTTCTTCCGGTCAAGCGGCTTGCAAAGGCCGTTCACTCGGAGCAGGGCCTAAGTAAAAAGGGGAACAGGCGTCAGTTTCCAAACAAAAAAGAAAACAGGCATCCTGGAATTCAAATACTCAAAAATATGCTAAGTATACCTCAGCAAGGACCCCTGCAATCCCGTCTAGGTCAAGGGTGCCGACACCCCTGACCGCCTCCCTTTCAGCTGGAGGAACGGCCTTGATCATAGACTTGGCCACCTCGACCAAGTCAGGCTCCTGAGGGCCGGCTGCATCAAGCATAAACAAACGGATTAGACCTAGTAAAGAAGGGAGCAAGTCTAAAATTTACAAGGACAACTTCATACTTCTAGGTGGCCCAGCTGAAGTTTTAGAAGAAGTGGCCGGCTGTTTCTCAGCCGCCGCATGTTTCCTGGCAGAACCAGGAGAGCTCGCAACAGTCGTCCTCCGGGCCTTGGGGTCCGGCTATTGGGAAGAAGAAGCTCTTGGAGCGCCCGTCTAAAAAAGAAGAAAAGAGTCAGTATATGCATAAACACAACTCCAAAAAGAGGGTAAAAGGTTCGAAGCCCACCAAGGGTGCCCCCTTGTTGGGGGAGTCGGTTGAAGACTGTTGCATGATGGAGGCCCGCAACATGGCCGCCGCAGTCTTGGAGGCGGTAATTTTGCTCATGGCGTCCGCTGCAAAAACAAATAGCAAAGTTAATAAGTCATAACAAGAAATGCATGGAACAACAGAGTATTCGACAGGCCGGCTACCTCTTGAGCACCGACTGCTGAGGCCACAGGCGGCCAAAAAGTACTCGTCGTAGAGCCATTTGAAGCTCGGGACGCAGTGCAGGGGTACTTGCTCTCGTACCCCTGAAGTAGAGTTCACCTTCGACTCTACTTTGAAGAGTCCTTTATCTAGGATCTCTTTGTTAGCCTTGGGGGGAACAGGCGGCATGCTGCGGCCGCCTGCAAGAAGGGGCGGATTCCTGTTCCACCTGTTGAAGCGCTTGTTCAGCTCTGTGTTTGAACTCTCAATGATGAGGAAGGTGCTCTGCCAGTCCTTCCATTTGTTTGCTTTACCTCTCGTCATGAGGTAGCCCCTGTGGCTCGTCAATTGATACCAGCCGGTACCGCCTGCCTTAGGGGTCCGGCTGAGGTAGTTCATGTGGGCGAAAGCCTCGAAGCTCGGCTCCACCCCGTGCAGTTCGCACCCGGCCACATAGCCGAGTACGTTGACCCAGGAGTTCGGGGATAACTGCCATAACCCCAACTCATACCCATCCAAGATCCGCTGAACAGCCGGATGTAGTGGGAAGCGCAGCCCAGCCTTGATGGCCGCCTCGTAGCAGCCAAAGCAGGCGCCATCATAACTGGTACCAGCCGGCCATACGACTGTGTCTTCTGGATTCGGCACGAACACTAAAAAGTCGGGGCCCATTGTGTGGTTTGCGATAAAGCTCTCCACTTTCTCTTGCATGGCCGTGATCCGGCCCCGAGGTACCGTGCAGTAGTAGGGGGTATTTTGCTCTCGGTGAGAGGCGGATGGCTCCGCCCAATCGTCCCCCTTCTCAACTGCGTGAGAAAGCCTCGCCTCTTGTAGGCGACTGTTTTTCTCTTCTGTGTCCAGAGAAGCATGGCCAGAAGAGCTAGACTCGGAATCGTCCTCTGACGAGTCCGAAGAGGACGACTCCTCCCCTCTCCCGGAGGGGCCCGCCTCCTCTCCTTTAAAAGGAGCAGGAGAGAATGTAGAATTGTCAACGGTAAAATGGGAAGGGGTCACTTTGACTCCTCCCCCAGAACTGCCGGCTTTCAGGCCGCTTTGTTTCACTTCCACATCTGGCGCCTGGTCAGATGTTTCACTAATCGGCACCCTGTGGGAGGAGCCGTCTGAGTTTGAGATCCTGGCAGTCTTTTTTGTCCTGGCCATCATGCTCTGCATATACACAAATACAGTCGGACTTTGTATAAAGGGCAAAGATGGGTCCAGAAAAGGGCAGGCGGCACTCCTAGTCCTAGATTCAGCCGTCCCCGGTGACCGGATGATCACTAACCTAGGTCGTTTCGTGTGCTTCCGTGGTGCCATTTCAAAAAAGAATAAAGTAAAGAGAAAATTAAGAGTAAGAGAACCGACGGTTACCTGAACGACTGACGATTGATGAAGTTCTGAAAATCCTTTGCAGTCGGCTTGTCAGAGCAGGCGGTAGGCAGAGAGGGTCCAAAATGTCAGAGCAAGTTCAGGGGTCCGAATGTTCTCTCACAAAGTTCTCAAGTGTGAAAATGACCGAAGTCAACACTCCTTTATATAGGCAAAGTGAGAAGGCGAAGGGTCACTTCCAGAATTCATAATTTGGGCGGGAGAATCTCTCAGCCTTTCGCCGAGTGACACCTGTAGCAGGTCGTCGCCTGTTACAGTGCGACACCTGTCACAGGTAACACGTGACCAGTCACGTGCCACTTGTGAGGGGCAAATGATTAGGGGATTTTGCTCCCACCAATCACCATCTGACAAGTGGACCAATCAGGTTCCGCCATGTGTCCGCCACATGGGCCAATAGGAGCCTGCCACGTGTCAAGCAATGATCCGTCCACCTTGGACCAATTACGACACGACACGTGTCCTTCCCATAACACCTGGGATAACCGGTCACCTAGGCCCAACTTCCGAGGGAAGCCCATTCAGCCCAAGGTTAACCTAAACCTAGATTGGCACGTTTCCCGAGGTTATAAATACCTCCCTTAATCCTCATTAAGGGAGATAACATGCTGATCACGCTAAAAAAAGCAGATTACATACATTAAATACTCTCACCTAGAGAGACCCAATCACTTTAATTTCCGCATTAATTACTCCTTAATCAAGTACTAACTTGACCGTTGGAGGCGGAGCTCCCACCACCAGGAGTCTCCGTTGTTTTGCAGGTACAGGCGTCCGGTTCCAGTCTCGGAATTGTAACTCTCCCGCAGGACATCAGAAAACACCGAAACACTAATGTTAATGAACGTGGGGAGTGGGTTGTTCAGAGGGCAGAACTTAAGCATTGTCGACACAGACCCACTCCGGGGAAGGCTAAGAATATAAGTAGGTTGTGGAAGAAGTTTCTGGTGGAAAATCCACATGTTGTGAGGCAGCTTTTCAACGAGCGGCGAAGTGGGGTTCCCGTGGCAAAAATCTATAAAAAAATGGCCAGGGAGCGTAACGGGGTGGAGAACATGCCCTTTGCCTAGAAAGACCTTCATGAGGAAGTGGCTAAGCTCAGGAAAAGAATTTTTTATGAAGGTGACGCTAAAGCAATGTTTAGCTATTTCCAAACTATGGTTGATGATAACTCTGATTTTTTCTACACTTATCGAGTTGATGAAGAGGGTAGGTTGAAGGATGTTCTTTGGGTAGATGCTAGGTGTCGCATGGCATATGAGGAGTTTGGCGATGTAGTTTGTTTGGACTCCACATACTTGACTAATGAGTACAAGTTACCGTTTTGCAACTTTGTGGGAGTTAACCACCATGGTCAAACAATTATTTTTGGGTGCGCGCTTGTTAGGAGAGAGACTGTTGAGACCTTTGAGTGGGTTTATAGCAATTGGTTGGGGTGTATGAACAACAAAACCTCGGTTGCAATACTAACAGATCAGGACCCTGCGATGAGGAAAGCTTTGAAGACTACAATGAAAGGGACTACACACAGGTGGTGTATTTGGCATATATTGCAAAAATTCTCTACCAAGCTAGGAAAGCATCCAAATTATCCCGAGTTGAAGGTAGACTTAGAGAGTGTTGTGTATGATAGTTTGGACATTGAAGAGTTTGAACGACGGTGGGCAGAGGTGATCAAGAAACACGAATGTGAAACGGACGAGTGGTTGGAAGGTGTGTAGTTCTAAAATATGACTTTATTGTTATTAATTATTCCAACGGATGACATAAAAAGAAATGTTGTTGTCGGGTTTTATGCTTCTGTTTTTATGGTTTAAATACTGTATGCTTCTACTATGTATGCTTTTTTTGTAATGTTCTAAAATATTACTTATGTTTCTGCTAGAAGTACTATTATTTATGCTTTGTTGGTATTAATACTGAAGTAATTATGCTTCTGGTTTAATGTTGTAAAATATTAGTTATGCTTCTGCTATAATTACTATTGTGTTACACGCAGAGGCCTTTTCCTGGTTTGGGTGTGTGTTAGACAGGCCTTTTGGATCAGATCAGTTACATGAGATGTGTGTTGTTATACTTGTATTTTGTACCATTTAGTGTTTTGTTATTTGCCACTTATTTGATGTTTTTTGAAGGCTTGTATGGTGAACGTGATATGTGGATTCCTGCGTTCGTGAAGCATCTTTTTTGGGCCGGCATGAAAACAACCCAGAGAATTGAGAGTATACATAGTTTTTTCGATGGTTATTTGAGCCGGCATACATTGCTTTGTGAATTTGTGGAGAGATATTGTGAAGCTCTTGAGGTTAGAGCTGCGCAGTACTACAAAAATAAGCGAAGAGACCCGTTGAAATATCCTTTACAAACCGCCTATCAACGGGTCTTTATCTAAGGGGTCTGTTAGATAAACAGACCGCCTCTATGGATGTGGTCTATTTTTAAAAGATAACAGACCCGTTATGCAAAATACCAGGTTTGTTAGATTACTTTTTTTAGAGTAAAATATTAAAGATAAGAGAACTGTTGTAAAAGAAATAGGGTATGTTTGCTATATTAAAGAGACCCGTTAAAAGAGAAATAAGGTCCTTTTGAAAATTAACTTCAGACCCTATATCGAAGATATGGGGTCTCTTTGATATATTTTTTTTTATTTAATTCATCAATCTGTAAGATCCCTTCTTCACCTAACAGGTCTGTTAGCATACACTTTTTTTTTAATCAATAAAATTTTTAAATGGTTTTTTTTTCCAGCAATTTCTTCAATAATTACCTATTAATTTTCTTTTAAAACTAACCTGCATAATATGTAATTCAATAAAATTTGTTGACAAATAAATTTTTAGAACTACTTCATATATAATTCAATCAATCCACTTACAAAAAACTCACCCATATAATGTTGTGCCACCCACAATTACACCATTACAAAAAAAGACTAACTCTTAATTTTCTCCCATTCTACCATTACAAAAAAAAAAAAAAAAAACCATGGCACTATACATCAACCATTGTTTCCAAAAACATCAGCATTCTACCATGTACACCATTACTAAAAAAAAAAAAAAAAAAAAAAAAAAAAAACCATGGCACTAAACATCAACCATGGCACTAAAAAAAAAAAAAAACCATGGCACTAAACATCAACCATACTATCTTTGACTTCTTTATCAGCTTAATTAGTTTAGTTGCTTAAGCAAATATTCAACCCAAATATCTCGTATCTCATCAATTTCTTCCAATGAATAAGCTTCTTGAGTAAAGACCTGCAATGTAAATAGCAGAAAAAAGAATTAAATAAGGATCATGGAAGTAGTGAACTAAAGCTCAAAACTGAATTTCAGAACCAAAGCATGAAACTGAATTTCAGAACTAAATTGAATATGTGAACCAAAGCTTAAAACTGAATTTTAAAACCAAACTAAAATTGAATTTCCGAACTTATTTTCAGAACTTAATTTCAGAACTAAATTCAGGACTGAATTTCAGAACTAAATTCAGAACTGAATTTAGATCTGAATTACAGGACTGATTTCAGGCAAGGGCAATCCAGGCGGTGTTTGCAGGACAAGGGGTGTGCAGGGTAGGGGAGTGTGTGTAGGGGGTGTTGGCGCAGCTGCTACGCTGCTGGGCAAGGCATCAGGTGCCCTGCCTGCGAAGGCAAGGCTGCAGCTGCTGCCCTGCCAAGGCATGGATGTAGTGAGCTGCTGCCCTGCCAAGGCAAGGCAAGGCAAGGCTGCCGCCCTGTCAAGGCAAGGCTGCAGCTGCCCTCCCTGCCAAGGCATGGATGCCGCGAGCTGCTACCTTGCCAAGGCTAGGCGGCTGCGGCTGCTGCTGCCCTGCCAAGTGCATAAGTATATTCAAGCAAATCCTCTCACAATAACCAATTAGGCAGAAATATGTGTTAAAGTGAGCAAATTTTAGTCAGAAATATTCAGTTGAAACAACAAAGTATATGAGTTCTAACCTTGTCAGTAATCCATAACACCCTTTTTTCTAAAATCTCGAGCATGTACCGGCACAAAAAGTATCCATAGTCCTTCCTGTGTTTAGGATGGCTAGGACACTACAACAGATCATCCATGAGTTACTTTATTATGTGAAAGACCTAAAACCGATTATCGTAGGTTAAGTTTAAAAATATAAAGTGAATACCTTTGGTTGCTTCCACCCAATATATGCATCCTTTTTTATTTTCTTGATATCCTTGCGATGGAAAGCGCTAAATTGTTTGATTCCCCTACATAATTATGACAACATAATTAATGATAATAATGACAAAAATACCAATATTACTTGAACATCAATACAAATATAATGAAGTCGATAAATGATTACTCTACTGCTTACTCATTGATGACTGTTTTAGCAAACTCAGGTATGGTGTCTGCTCCACCTGGGTCCAACCAATAGACTATCCCATTCCAAGGGCTAATCACAGCTAACATCCAATTCCGACTACATACAAATTACACGAAAAGTAAATAAAATAACATATAAATAATTATCAGCTATTGTAGAGAAAACACATATTGCACGAACTTTTCATTATAAGGTGCAAAGAATAATTGATTACGATTCTTTCCCTCATTGCACCCAAACACACAAGCTAAGTATGTAGACGGGTTTTCCTTTTCTATTGTTGGATTCATTGGGGATAGAACATTGGAATCGCAAAATCCAAACATACCCGAAATTCCTTCTTCTTGACATTGCTCTTTCAAGTACCTTTCCCTGCCATCCATAAAAGGTCAAACATGCAAGAAGATATTGAAAATAGAAATTCTCAAATCTTAAAAATGTAAATGAACTTACTTCATGAAAATATTCAAGTGAGCAGCTCCGATCTCTTTCTATAAACACCAATTAAGCAAATATTCATAGTCAAGAGTAACATTAACCACATGTTGAGTCAGAAATACGGTTTTTTGGAAACTTAAGGAGATGGATTTATTACTCTTTTTCATTCCCAAAGCATGAGTTTTTAACGACTGTAACCAATTAGTAGTCACTTTTTCACAATCTTCAGCTTCGAAAAGATGCATGTCAGTGGTTGATGTTTGGGATGATGCCGATCTTGGGGATGGAGTAGTCACGTCTTTATCCAGGTGCACATCAGCCTTTCATACAAACAAACAATGAGGGAACAAGTAAATGCAACTCTTAACTTAAAATCAATTCTGAACTAAAATCAGTTAGTAAAAAAACTGATGTAACAATACCTTAACGGGAAGAATCAAGTGAATTGGCCAAGAAGTGTAACTCTTCTTAGCTTGGCAAACAAAGATTAATTATTCATTTGGACATGGCAAGGGAGCATTCAGCACAATATCTTCTACAATAGAGACTCGGCGGTGACTAGGGGGTAGCGATCGAACATGATTTCTGATAACTTCTCCTGCCTTATCTTGATAGACTTTCCCTTTAGCAACAATTACATGTCCTTTATCGCCGTCCTCAATGGCCAGTTGAAAATCACTCTAGCCCTATACAAGTCATGACAGAATCAAATTTCATATAAATAATTTACATTCGAAGATCTATGACTTTTAATACAATACCTCAGGAAAAGTGATATTGATATGTTTGAGGCCAAGATTAGTTGAGTTACCATCATGATTGTTCAGAAGTACATGTTCAGGTTGATTAATTTGCTCTGTTTGAGGCCAAGAAACATGGTACATCTCAGCCTCAGAGCTTTGAAGATGATCCTGTTGCACGGGAGGACTTATGTTAGCCTCATGACCACGTGAAACATTAGCAGCATCCTGAAATTGAGACTCCAACAATTGATGACCTTCACTTTGTTGTTTCTCAACCCCTCTAGTTAGCAGCTGTGTAAGTGGAATGTTAAGCATTCCATGGTTAACAAAATTATTTAATTGGGTAAAACCTAACCTATTACCATCAAGACCACCAAACCACCGAATTCAGCTTGACCACCAAAACCAAAACCACTCTGACCACCAAAACTAGTCTGACCAGAAGAACCAACCTGTTGACCATGACCAGACTGACCACCAGAACTAGACTGACCACCAGGCTGACTACCACCATTGCCAAATTGGCCAACCAGCCCACCCAAACTGCCAAATTGACCAGCATTTGATTGACCAAAGATGGCCATGAACGATTTCAATTGCTCTTGATTTAAGCATGAAATGATGAAAGACAATAATAAATTCTGATTATTTTTCATAGTTCCCATCTCTAATTGCATCATTCCGATTTTTGCATACAATTGGCTTGGTGCAGTTGGTTTGTTAAACCCAAAATATTCCTTATTTGTGATACCTGATCCAACTCCCGTCACTGAACCACCATGCTCACTCTTATTCAATGCTCTTGCTAATAAGTCATCCCGACCATTGCACACGAATTCTCCTCTTTGAGCTTGAGCCTCCACTGCAATCTGCAATTTAAAATTTCAAGGGACGTAATAGATGAAACCAAGTGAAATAAATTCAAATCAAGGCAATCATTCACAAGAATTTAATGAAATAAAATTTGTGCAGAAGAGTCTTCATTAGATATCTTACTATAGCTTAATGGATTTCCCTATCGACTGGATTATCAAAAAAATGATTCCATCTTTGACCTCAGATTGAGCTTTGATCCAAGTCAATTGTCGAGGCACTTGTGACACCCTGTTTTTCAAGTTCTTTTTCTTGCCATTGTACAAAATTAATTTAGACTTATGTTTGAATTATATGAAATAAAATTTTCAACACCAATATTGTATATATGGTAGTTACATATAGAATATTTGTCAAACTTACTATTTGTTCTTCAAAATATTGATACCCAAGTCGGCCTCCTCGATACTTTGAGGTCTTCTTCTTTGCCCTCACACGAATTTTTTCACTCAATTCCTACAAAAAAAAAATTAAGATTAAACTCATAAACTTATAAAGCATCAAAACTAATAAACTTATAAAGCATCAAAACTAATAAACTTATAAAGCATCAAAACTAATAAACTTATCAAGCATCAAAACAGAACTGAACTCAGAACGAAGCTTCAGAACTGAACTCTAGGATTGATCTCAGAACTGAGGTTCAGAACTGAATTCAGAACTGAGCTTCAGAACTGAACTCAGAACTGAGCTTCAGAACTGAACTCAAGAACTGAATTCAGAACTAAGCCTCAGCACTGAATTCAGAACTAAGCTTCAGAACTAAACTCAGAACTGAGCTTCAGAACTGAACTCAAGAACTGAATTCAGAACTAAGCCTCAGCACTGAATTCAGAACTGAGCTTCAGAACTGAACTCAGAACTGAGCTTCAAAACTGAACTCAAGAACTGAATTAAGAACTGAGGTTCAGAACTGAATTCAGAACTAAGCTTCAGAACTGAATTCAGAACCGAGTTTCAGAACTGATCTCAGGACTGAACTCAGAACTGAGTTCAGAACTAAGCTTCAGAACTGAGCTTCAGAACTGAACTTAGAACTAAACTCAGAACTGAATTCAAAACTAAGCTTAGGAATTGAGCTTCAGAACTGAACTCAGAATTGAACTTAGAACTGAGCTTCAGACCTGAACTCAAGAACTGAATTTAGAACTGAGGTTCAGAACTGAATTTAGAACTAAGCCTCACAACTAAATTCAGAACTGAGTTTCAGAACTGAACTTAGGACTGAACTCAGAACTGAATTCAGAACTAAGCTTCAGAACTGAACTTATAACTAAACTCAGAACTGAGCTTCAAAACTGAACTCAAGAACTCAGTTCAGAACTGAGGTTTAGAACTGAACTCGGAAATGAACTCAGAACTAAATTCAAAACTAAGCTTCAGAACTGAACTCAGAATTGAACTCATAACTGAGCTTCAGAATTGAACTCAAGAACTGAATTCAGAACTGGATTCAGGACTTAACTCCAGAACTGAACTCCAGAACTGAATTTAGAACTGAACTCCAGAACTGATTTCAGAACTGATTTCAGAACTGAATCGCTAAATTCAAGACTGACTTTAGGAAATGGTAGGGAAAAGAGGTGTTTGCAAGGCAGGGGATTGAGTCCAACACATTCAAATTATTTTATAAATATAAAAGCTACCTGAAACTCCTTTGAAGTACAATATTTGAAGAAGATCTCCCAATCTGTATCTTTTATGAATGGATATTTCCATGGGGGTTGTTGTCTGACAGCTCCATCTTCTAGATACATCCATCAAGTCTTAGCCTAGTCTTGAAAGCTTTCCATCGCTTAGAAGCTTGTGTCAGTATCCAATTTCTGCGATTCTCGATGACATAAAATCCCTTCTGCATTATTGGTACAGAAACATTAAACCTTCCTACATAAAAGCTTATTGTATGACTTATTCAAATGTCTTAGAACTGAATATGTTTTCTTACTGTGATAGCATTGTAGACTTCGTCTAAGACTCCATTTGGAAGGTCAGACCACTCCTTATAAGTAATCGTTACTCTTTCACGGGCAACAACACCAATGTAGGTGGAGAAATGAGATTTGTGCTCTCCTACTGGAATTCTTTAATAGGATGCCATTGTAAACGAATCTTGGTGCCTGCTTGGATCACCTTCCCCACCATAGCAAGTACAGTACGACCCCTCTCATCCTCACGCCTTATTTTCTCAGAATCCTCAGGATGTAGTGTGTCACCTTCATTGGATGGGCGTTTACGTTTTCTCTTTCTAGCCATCAACCTATAAAAAAATTAGAAAAATAAATTTAATAGGTTAGTTAAATGCAAAAATCATTGTAATAATGAAACAAAAATTTTAAGTAGGACATCCTAAGGAAAAACCAATAATAAAAAAAAAAGTTAGTACTTTATAAAAAAAAAATAAAAAATTACATTTGTTACGAGATCGCTTTCGCTTGACATTTTTTCGCTTCTTTGTATCTTCAACCCATGTAACCTCATTATGATCATCTCTCACATATATTGAAGAGCTGAGTCATCAACATTATCGTCCACTACTTTTCTTGTCCAAGAAGGAGTCTCCAACACACAATCGAAAGTAAAATCATCGATGGAGTGTCGAGGCCTTGGTGTTATGACAGCTAACCTTCGCTTATCTAAGGGGTCAGTCATATAAAAAATTTGTTTTGCTTGGGTAGATAAAATAAAAGGATCCTCTTTGTGACCAACCTTGTTAAGATTGGCCAAAATAAGTCCCAAGTTACTTTCTTCAACACCGTTGTTGCTGTCAACCCATTGGCATTTGAAAAGAGGAATCGAAAACATGGTGTAATGCAACTCACAAATCTCTTCAATGACTCCATAGTATCTCATAGTACCACCCACGGGATTCTTATCTTTTGCACTAGCAAAGTGAATAGCTTGATCCTCTAAAGTGACCCCACTGTTTTGCATAGTGTTGTGCTCATCTTGGAACTTTGTGTAAAAAGTGCAACCATTTATAACATATCCTGAATAGTATGTTACACTAAAGTCAGGTCCATATGCTAAACTCTTGACTCGATCTGAGATTACTATTGAAGAGTCATCGAGCTCCCTCATTACTTCATCTTTGAACCAAGAAATGAATGATTTTCTATGTTTGTCATCTAATGCCTTTTCGCTTGCTCTTGGATTGTACTTTCTCAAGTGTCTCATATGTCTTTCAACATAGGGTGCAACTTCATCCTCATTATGCAGAATGTATGAGTGTGCCTTGTTCCAATTGTCATAAGATATATCACGTTGCTTACGACCTAAGGTTCCCACACCATCCATTCGTCCACTATGACGGGATGTAGGAATCCCTATTCTCATTGAATTTATCATAAAATCACCAGCATATTGTAGTACTTCTTCATAGAAAAGTTGCTCAGCAATACAACCTTCAGGTCGATAAGCATTCTTCACATACCCTTGGTATGTTCTCATTTGCCTTTCAAAAGCCCATTGAACTCTCAAATATATTGGACCACAAAATCTTATCTCTCTTACCAAGTGAACCGTCAAATGAACCATGATATCAAAAAAAGATGCAGGAAAGTACATCTCTAATTGAGATAAAATTATAACAATTCTTCCTCCAAAGCATTCAAATGTTCGGGATCAATGACTTTACTATAGATTGCATTAAAAAACAAACAAAGTCTATTAATGGCATATCGAGCATTTTTAGGCAATATTGAACGAATATCTACGGGCAACAAATTTTGCATCAAAACATGACAATCATGAGACTTAAGGCCCATAAGTTTCAAACTTTCCATGTTTACCAGGTTGCGAATGTTAGAAGAATAACCTTCCAGCACTTTCACTCCGGCAAAGCTCTGACATAACTCGATTTTCTCTTTTCTAGAGAGGGTATAAGCAGCCGGTGGCAAGTACTTTTGACCATTCTCATTCTCAACCACATGGAGTTCATCTCTAATCCCCATTTCCTTTAAGTCATCTCTATCTTTCTCCCCATCTTTGGTCTTTCCACTAATGTTCAATAGTGTACCAATAACACTATCACACACATTTTTCTCAATATGCATCACATCAAGCGTATGTCTCACAAAAAGGAATTTCCAATATGGTAAGATCCACAATATTGAACACTTTTTGAATCCTTGCTGAGCAAGAAGTTTTTTATGCTTCTTACCATATGTGATCTTGAGATCTTTGATCTTTTCAAACACCTCTACTCCAGATAGTATCTTAGGGCGCACCCTAAACTCTTGATGTCCATTGAAGGCCTTTTTCAAGTTGCGATAGTGATGAGTACATGGAAAAAATATACAATTTCCATCAAAAACATTCTTCTTAGATACACTCAACCACCTTCCTGGAAAACCTTCCATGCATACGGGACAAGCAGTTTTCCCGTAAACTGTGTATCCTGATAGATTACCATATGCTGGAAAATCTTGAATAGTACAAACCAACAATGCTTTCAAATTGAAATTCTCGTTACGATGTGCATCGAACACCTCTACACCTGTTTCCCACAATATCTTCAAATCATCAATTAGTGGAGCCAGATACACATCAATATCATTACCAGGCTGCCTTGGACCAGAAATTAGTAGTGATAACATCATATACCTTCTTTTCATGCAAAGTGTAGGAGGTAATTTGTAGGTAATCAAAACAACTGGCCATGTACTATAAGTGCTACTCAATGATCTAAATGGATTGAAGCCATCTGTAGACAAAGCAAGGCGTAAATTACGCTTTTCTTTGGCAAATTCTGGAAATTCTCCATCAATAAACCTCCATTGTGGGGAATCAGCAGGATGTCTAAGCATTCCATCATCCTCTCGACCATAGACATGCCATGTTAACTTTTCAGCATCTCCGGCATTAGAAAATAGCCTTTTAAACCTATGTATTGGAAAGTACCATAATACCTTCGCAGGCACTCGTCCTTCATTCTTTTTGTATCGCGAGGCATTAAAAATTGCGCATCTCTCTAATGATTTATTCTCGTTTCGATACAACATGCAATCGTTAGGGCAAGCATGAATTCTCTAATAAGGTAAACCCATGACACTTAGTGTCTTTTTTGCCTCATATGTACAACTTGGAAGGACATTATCATCTGGAAGCATGTCTTTTACCAATTCTAGGATCATATTAAAGCTTTGATCACTTAAACCATGACCCGCCTTCAAGTTGTACAACTTAAGTATGGCAGACAACCTTGTGTATTTAGTGCAACTTTCATACAAAGGCTTTTCAGAGTCACTTAATAAGCTCTCAAATTTAGTGGGATCTTCATCAAAATTCTCCTGTACTACATGGAGCACTTCCTCTAATCTATCTCCCTCATTTGTATGTTGACCTTCATAAGCATTATCTGAAAAGTTACTCACCGAAGCTCCATCTCTACATTCTCCATGCCAAATCCAACACGTATATGTTTTGTCAAATTCCCATTTCTCCAAGTGATTAAGTATCTCTTCGGGTCTCTTATACAAGAAATTATGGCACATGTGACAAGGGCATGGTAGCTTATGGCGGCCTGCACTATTCTTAACTGCAAACTTAACAAATTCTCTTACACCTGCTTGATATTTTTGGGTCACCTGGCTTAGTTGTTGTTATCCAACTTCGATCCATTTAATATTTTCTACACAACAACAACTAAAATTATTAATCCCATCCTGCCCCTGCCCCTCTCCCTACACCTTTCCCCTCATCTTCTAATTATTAAATTGACAAAAAACATAACTCAGGAACCAATTAGCAACAAAATTGACAATTTGTGTACATGCATGATTCCATAGTGCATTTTTAATAAAAAAAAAAAAAAAAAAAAAACACACAATTTGAAATCCCAACCAACATTAAAGATGTCATACAATCTAAAATAATGAAGAATTTGAAGGGAAATTCAAACAACAAATTATCTCTCTCTTCATCACAATAAAACCTCAAAACAAAAACCCAGAACATTAAACATCATAAAGCACATAAACTAAAACCATCATAAAGCAAAGAAACTTAAACCATGAACCAACACTTGATATGAAATTTCAAGCAGCAGAAATCTGAATACACTTACAAATTTTAATAGGCAACCCAACATTACTAAAATAATGGCATATTCGATTGCCAACATTAACTGACTTACTGGTTAATGTTAAATGTCGAACAAGAACAAATTTTTATTAACTAAACTAATTTTAATACACTTACTGCCTCATTTCTATAATAGCAGATTCACCAACAAATGTTGAACAAGAACCAATTATTATTTCAATATTTCATTTCCGCAAACAAAACAATAATTCTAAAGTGAATTAAATGAAAAAATTCAGAAACAAAAAAATTATCAATAAATAAAACCCTAACAAAGCATACATGCATCAATTGAGCCAAAATTCTAACCTTTAAGTTTGATTGCGGTGGAGCCGTGGAGGAGCTGCTGTTTCGTTCCTTTTTTTTTTGTGATTTCGAAGAAAACCCAAAGATGAGCACGCTGCTACTCAACTAGCAATATCAGTGGCCGCATGCAGTAACCCAGAAATCCAATGTGCATTTGGGATTTTGATGAAAAATGAAAGAGATGAATGGACTTTCGGCAATCTGTAGAAAATTAGTGGTGAAATTGAAAATTTGAAGAGGGTTTTCTTTGATGAATTGGAAGGGTTTAAGAAATTTATTTTGAGAGGGAATGAAAATTTGAGGCGGCAATAATAATGGAATGAAGTATGGAACTCTGTAAAAAAAGGAATATTAGCATTTTTTTTACCATATGTAAGAGACCCGTTGTACCTAACAATAGGTCTCTATTTAAGAGATCCGTTGTAAATAACAACTGGTCTTTAATATGACCTTGTAATTTAAAACCGTAAAACATTATATTTTGGCGCCTACTATTACAGACCAGTTATGTGTAATGTAGGGTCTTTTATATAAAAGAGACCCGTTAAATTGCACAACGGGTCTCTTCCAGGGGGTATGTTTGCCACTTTTTGTAGTACTAAGAAAAGAGCTGATGATAACAACTCTTGATATGTTAGGCAGCCCATGACAGCATTCCCAGCTGAGTCTATGTTTCGAAAAATATATGTCGATGCCAAATTTAAAGAAGTCCAAAGGGAGTGCACTAGGCTGCTATATGTGACGGGTAGGGAGGCACAACTAAGTCTACATTACAATGTTGTACACATTTCAAGAATTTTATAGCAGATTGAATTTTGTTTATATTGTACATGTTACAGGTTTGGAGAAGCGGCAGATCTCTGATACATTGATAGAACATGTGCTTGAGGATATTGTTTGGTGGAAACCTAAGAATTCAAGGAAGGATGTACCCTCTCAGAGGAAACGGGTCTACAAGGTGACATACAATAGCAGCACAAAAGAAGCAGATTGTGAATGCATGTACTTTGATTGTCATGGTATCATCTGTCTCCATATGATTATGGTCTTTCAGATGAACAACTATAGAGAAATTCCTGATAGGTACATCCTACGTCGTTGGAGGAAAGATGTAATTAGGAAGCACACTAGAGTGAAAGTGAAGTACCATGATCCTAGCAAGACGGAGGCGGTATGTAGATTTGATAAGATGATGGTGAATTTCTCTCCCATTTGTTTAAAGGCTTCTATTTGCAAGAGTGCTTCCGATGTAGTGTTGAATGGTTTGCAGTTGCTTGATATACAAGTAGAGGAGAAATTTTCCATGTTAACCCGAAATAAATCTGACCTGTTAGAATGGGACACCTTCTTCTGTTTGTTTGGAAAAAGAGGCTTCACCACCTGATACTGAAAAGCAAGGCGGTTGTGCGAAGGACCTGTCTACACAACTTGCTACCATAAAGGACCGCAATTCCAAAGAAACCTCCTCACCATACCACTGCTTCGAGGTACAAGTCTTGTGTTGAAAATTCGAAAAAACCGGGTAAGAAGAGGAGTAGTGGAAAACAAGACAGTGTTGTTGATGGGGTTCTCAAAACAACCTTCAATCCTCTTTTTCACAGGTAAGTCACTGATACGTTTACAATGATTGAAGTGGAAAATAATTGTTATTTTATTTTTGGTTATCTCTTTGTTTTGCTTATTGGGTTTATTTGGTTCAAATAGGAACAACAACATCCATTTCCTATGATGGGTTACAACCCTCATTGTGTAGGAGGCATTCAAATGACATATGGAGATGGGTCTTTGGGGTACTTCACTTTGTTGCATGGGGTGGAGCGTCCTCCTTCTGTTGGGGTTGCTAATTCTCCAAGTTAGAGGCCTTTTTACCCCCCCCCCCCCACATCCACATTTTATGGCGTACCAACAGTACTATCAAATGCATGGATTGGCGATGCAAATGGGGGGTGGTTATATGTCGCCTAATACGGCTGGTTCTCAGTTCCTGTACATGGTGAGGCCTGGAAGTATGAGCGAAACTCCCACCCGTGCTGGGTCCAACAGTACCAAGTAGCCTAACATTTAACAATGCAATGCTGCCCACCCTTTTTGTGTAGTAATTCTGGGATATGGTAGTTTTAGTAGTTGTAAAAAGTGGTCTTGATGGTCAATTTTTTGTAAAGTACTTCTGGGATATGAGTAGTTTTACTACTACCCCCAGTACCAAGTAGCGTAAGAGGTCAATTTTTTGTAAAGAAATGCTAACTTATAACTTTGAAAACCATATGATGGTATATGATGGTGTCATTGCTTTGTAAAGGAAACTTTAATCTTTTGGGGAAAATGTGATGATCATGAATTTGGGCCAGGTTGTTGTTTAATTAAGTATTTTTTTTTTAATAATTGATATTATTTGGGCCAGGTTGTTTAATTTGGGCCAGGTTGTTATTGTTTAAGCACTGTTACTATGTATTTTAATAAAGGTCCACTGAAACAGTAAAGGTCCAATTGAACTAGTTAAAGGTATCGCTGACATTGGTTCTGACATTGGTCAAAGGTACGACTGACATTGGTTACTACCTAAACCATGGGATGTCCAATTGAATTAGTTAATGATACCACTGAGACCTTAAAGGTCCAATTGGGAAGAGGCCGTGTATATTTGAATTGTTAAGGTCCAACTTAAAAGCTTAAAGATCTATCTGAATTTGTTAAAAGGTCAATGGGAGGGTGAAAGTTATTAGGATCCACTGTAACTTGTTAAGGTTTCACTGTAACTTATTAAGGTACTACTCAGTACTTGGTATTACTGAAGTAAGGGTTACCTTTAAGTCCAACAATGGTACCTTTAAGACAAATTATAGTACCTCTTACTTCACCTAGGGTACAATCAAATTAAGAAGAAATGGAAGATGCAATTTTATATTATAATAAGTCAAATAAGTAAAATAAGAAGTGGGTATCATGATTTTATTTTGGTGACAATCATGTATTGAAGCTCCTTTAACACTAATGTTTGTAGTTAGGAACTCGAAAGTGATATTTTGGGTAGAAAGATCACATGAAAGTTGTTACTTATTTAGTTATAACAATTGGATAAACCTTTATTGTCTCATCACATATACCTTTATTTGTTTAGTATATTTTCACTAAAAAGCATAAATATTAATACCATTTTACTATATAGTGATACCATGTAATTAGTAAATGGAATTGTTACTTTTGATATATTATTGTAATACTTTTGATATATTTATATAATACTTGAATAATGTTCAAGTTGTGTGTTCATCATTTTCAAACGTCCAATTATGTGTCGGTTTCGTACCATTGACAACAACTTATTACCATTTGAGACTTGATGTTGTACCACTACTTAGGGTACCTCTGTAAAACCTCTGTAATTGTTTAGGGTACCATTGTAACTATTTAGGGTACTATTTACTATGTACTTTTACTGCCATAGGTAATAGTAGAACTGGGACTATCATTTGATGCACTAGTGTTACCAACTGTTAACGAAGGGTTACCTCTAGGTGAAATTTTTTTAGCTCTAAGTCTTGTTAGGGTACCTCTAAGTCTTCCTAGGGTATCATCATTACAGTAAGAGGAAACCAATACATTATTCATGCATTTTGTTATAAATAAATAGTGTTTGATGATGGTGGGTGGGATGTATTACTACAATCAAATATGAGAAATGCATGTATTATGTTATTATCCATTCGTAAGTAAGATGATACGAATTGGTAATGTTATCAGGAAGATAATGAGGATAAACCTTTTTTTCCCTTTTATGTTTCTATGCTTATCATAGATAAACCTTTACTTCGAACTTTGTCATATTGACGTTTAATGGTTTAATATATGTAGGTGGTAACAATTTGGAGGTGGGATTAACAAAGTAATAATGCATTTTTTGGCAATATGTATGTAATTAAATAATGTACTTTAAAATGTCCATTCCGTTGCAATATTCTTTTGTACCACTGAAATTAAAGGAAGACCACTGAAAATAACAAATTACCAGTTGCAATATTCTTTTGTACCACTGAAGCCTAATTTAGACCCCCAGTGGTAGTGATAGTGAACAGGGTGTAACAAAAGACAACGTGTGTTATCTGAAAGGCCCAAAAAGCCCAATAGCGCCAAAGTTTTCGTTGTTTTACCGCACAAAATTTCGGCTACAGTGAAAAGATCTTTCATTTGCCTTTGGTTTTTAATACCCAAATACCCATTTGCAATTCAGTCAAAGAAAGTAAATTGAAAACCGATATTGGAATTAGATTAACCATGTCTTTAAACACAACATCTTCAATTGGCCGTGGAAACAATTTTGGAGCCGGTGGCGACATTTTATGGGTGGCTGCGAAGCGTTGCAACTACGGGGGGCAAGCAATATCCGAATTTCGTATTTCGCTGTCGGAGGCTAATCCTAGACGACCATACTACAAGTGCAAGGGTTGTTCATTTTGGCAATGGGCAAGGGAGGAGGATATGGTTAGAAGCACCAATATTGGTGTAGCTGAGATTGGGCAGAGGCTTGATGTACTTGAGAAGAGAATTGCTACTTGACAAGGGTTAAATCGGTCGCTACAATCTAACTCTCAATCAAACAATACTTATACGAACACCCTATAACCAAGTACAATGGAAAATAAAGGTTCGGTCCACGAGGAACGAGAGTAATTGCAAATCAATCTTAAACCTAAGCTAGTTCGAAATCAATGGAAAACGGTGTTCTAAAATACTACTAATAAGATGGAATAAATCAATAAACTAAGACACTAGGGAGAACGGGAATTCACCAAACCATCGGTAACTACGCAACAAGGAATCACAGAGACAAACGGGATATGCAAAGACTATATGTCTGATCAATATCATGTGATAGGAAGACAACGGGCAATACTAAGCTTGGATTTCTCATGCACTTAACATTACTCGATACATAATCAAACCACATTCAATAATGAAATACTCAATTCACAATCTCTTGTTCAAATCAAGGATATCATGCAATCAAATTCAAGATTCTAGGTTAGCTACTCCTATTATAATGAATTAACATGCAATCGCATATAATCAATTTAATCACAATCCGTTTATCAAAATCAATCCTCAATTACATAGATTACCTAGGCCGGGTTTCATCCCGAAACCCTAGCTAGGAGACTACTCACACATATTCATAATCAAAGCAATAATGAATTCCAAAAGCATAATAGATACAAACATGAATTCTGATTAAGGAATAATAAAGCTTGATTAATAAACAAGAATGAATAATACCGATTGTATTGATGCGAATCAATGGAAAATTTCAGAACTTTGATATCCGTCGTCAATGAATAATACAAAGAATCTTCGCAAATCTTGCTTCAAATCAATCCAAGAAAACTAAAATCTCT